AAAGATAAAGCAAAGCCTAAAACACATTCCATATCAACCTATCACGTGCTCTCTCGAGTTTGGAGTATTTCCGGCACTCCTATATCTGAGAACTTTACAATAAGAGTGACAAAAATTCCAGCACCCACGTATATGATTCTGAGAACTTCACAATAAAAGTCACGGAAAATTCTAGGAACAAAGAGAAGATAATATATCGACTGTGTCACAACATTTCAAATCCAAATTCAAAACATCACTCAGAAAACTAAAAAAATGACAAATCTAGCTATGAATGGTAGCTACTTCAAATTGAACTGTGAATTCGGACAATTTAACACTCTATTGTTAGACTTTGATTCTATAATTTTATAGCATAATAGATATATGTAGTGTTAGGTCTCCAAAAAAATATTTAACTTTTAAATAGGCCAAAACATACAGGTGCACCGGAAGTACCTAAGACATGAAAGTGCTTGATGCGTTCTCCCAAGTGATGGATAAAGGATCGCATAATCAAACGACAGAGGGACAGCTTCATGTGGACTCATGAATAGCTTTTGCTATATTCTTTCAAAGGTAATGATACAACAGCAAAAATGGCATCTGGGCATCTACAGTGATAACTATCAAAAGTGTGTGTGCATATTAAAAAAAGAAAGCAGGGGACAAACTTCCAGAATAATATAATGATTGTGCCGCCCCCGCTTTTCTGGTGCTGCTCTGAACATACAAAGTGGAAGAACCCGATGGACTGCTTTTGTAGGTTGACATATCTTGGTTGAGACTTAAGAGGAGCCAGATGCAGGCTTAATCTTCTTATTTCTGACCAAATTCTCGACAAAGAGCTCTCCTGCACGGTACGAAGACCGGACCTGACAAGAATCGCACCACAGAAAAAGTGAGTTCATGCAAATGGCTGCACTGCTGAGGGTTACGTTTGTATGCTTGCAAAACCTAGTCCAAGGCGTTTGACCATTGTGTTGCATCCGTTGCTGCATGTCAGAGGCTGTTGCCTTTGAGCTCAGTCTGTTCTTTATTTCTTGTTTCAGACTCCTGAACTATTAACCATTTCTTTACGGATTTCACTATATGAAACAGGGGCTTGTCCACCTGTTTATCTTATAAAATTCACTGGTACGGGCTATTATGGAACTACATGGCCACTCCACTACTGGATCGAAGAACTAGAAATAGGACCAGAAACTGTATTTCTTGATTACCTATATAGCATGGGCAATCAAGATAATATTTCCAGAACTTCAGTTATGCATAGTAGTACCAATTTTTTCAGAGCAGCAGTACACAGGAGTAATCAACGACATGTAGCACTTACCAGAGGTCCACTAGCAACATAACAAAAACCCAATGATTCACCATACTCCTTCCAAAACTGGAACTTCTCAGGCGTCACATACTCTCTAACCGTCAAATATTTTTCTGTTGGCTGTAACATCAAGTAGTTTGGTTTATAAGAAGAGAAGGATTTAATTACATGCTACACCAAAGTTAAATATGGGTACAGGGCTAACCTGTAAATATTGGCCCAATGTGAGAATATCAACACCAACTGCCCTTAAGTCAATCATGGCTTGCTTCACCTCCTCGTCAGTTTCCCCAAGACCAAGCATGATAGAAGACTTGGTTATCATCCCTTCTTTGCAAATTTTTGCATGCTTTAGAACAGCTAAGCTCTGCTCATACCTGTAAAAATGAGAGGTCATAAGAGATCCTTCCAGAGCCAAATACCATGAGAAAAGAAGATACAAGGGCTAACTGGACATTGCCAGAATATACTAACTTCTGTACTAGGCACCTTCGTCTAGCATTTATATCAACAGGTGCAATTTTTTTAGCAAAACTCAAATAAAAGACACCGTGTCATGCAAACTGAAGACATCCAGATACTAGGGAATGACAATTGGCCATCTAAAAGAAATAATCCAATATCTGGCATTTATAAAGTGATATAGCTATAGCAACTCACTGATCAAATTGACAGTAACATTCTGCTTTTGATCGAACCTAAGTAAGGTCTCTTGATATGGTACACATCCACATTTGGTAAGGTTTGTGGAGCTGGATAGAAATTGGATTCATAGTTCGGTCAAATTTGAAGATACATCACCCAGACTAAAACACTCCAATGGCCTGAGGTTGATCACATTGCCGTAGTACAGTTATGTTGTACAACTGATTCAAGTGTCAGAGCACCAGAATGAACAGAAGCAACATTTGTTTAACGTTGTTAGGTTGGTTTCAGCCAGGATTATGCATATTATTAGAGTAAAAATAAGATAAAGCAAATAAATTTATAATCATCGATTTTCTATGTGGATGCTATAGTGTTTCAAACCTCTAGCCATTGTATAGCTTGGAGGAGAATATCAGAAAGTAAAACAGAAAGAAACCGGAAGTAGCGATTCTTTGTAATTTAGCTGTTCCGGAATTGTTGATGAGTGGTAATCGAACAGGTCAGTTAATCTGGGGAATTAAGTTATTGGTGCTTCAAACCTCAATTTTACAATAGTCTAACAGACAATGTCATGCAACTAAAATCAGTGGATCAAATTACCCTGCGCGAGGATCCCTCACAATTCTCTGCAGACTCCTCACAGTTTCAATGTTGTGTGCAAAGACATCTAGATTAGAATCGGCCAAAGAGGAAACAGCCTCCAGATCACCTCGAAAGTCCGAGGTTAAGCATTCCACCAATATCCCAGGTTTGAGCTCCTGAATAGGGAGTCCAGAAGTCTTTAGCATGGTATTTCGAAAAAAGATAAACTTATTGAAAGACACACCAATACAGTATATGAGATAGACCTTCAAAGCTCTCACTGTCTGAGCAAAATGGCCACTTCCACCATCAGGTAAGTCGTCTCTATCAACACTTGTCAGCACAACATAGTCTACTCTGGAAAGAACAGCATTCTGTCAGATATTCTGTGTAATCATGCATCGTAAATTGGCACATTTGCATTGGTTCAAATCCAAACTTCATAAATTGCACCGTTATCTCTTCTTACTAAATCAGTCGCTCAAAGATGACAAGCCAATAGTGGTAAATCTGTAGATAAGCAACCAGCAGAAACTTACCCCCAACTTGCAACTGCCAAGGCCGTGTTCAGAGGTTCCATGGGATCCGGCGGCAGAGGCTTGTTGCTGGTCTTCACGGCGCAGAATCGGCAGCCGCGCGTGCAAGTATCGCCGAGCACCATGATGGTCGCCGTGGCAATGCCGTCGCCTTCCCCGCCCGCCCCTCCCCCTCCGTTCCAGCACTGCGCCCCAAAAGCAGCAGGTTTCGTTAAACCCGACACTCGAAAGCAGCAGAAATTCCTCGTGCCGATCGTATTATGCTAGGCACGCAGGATCGAATCGCACGAGCGAAGCATCGCCGCGGCGGGAGGCGTGCACCGGTGCGTGTAGAATACCTCGCCGATGTTGGGGCACTGGGCCTCGACGCAGACGGTGTTGAGCTTGAGCTCGCCGAGCGACTCCCGCATCCGCGCGTACTTCTCCCCGTGCGCCGCCCTCTGCCTCAGCCACGCCGGCTTCTTCACCTCCGGGTCCCTCCCGGTGTACGGCCCCGTCCTGGCGACGGACACCGGCGGCGCGGCCTCGGCGCGGCACCGGACCGAGCCGGATCGATCGCGGCGGCAGCTCTGGTTCGCGCAGCCAGGCCGGATCGGCGGGCCCACCTGCCTCGCGAGCGAGCTGTGCATCGTGGCCGGCGAATCGGGCGCCGGATTGCGCAGGCTTGTCTAGCCGTGGCGCCGTGCGGGCGCGGGCGATGGGCTCGGAGCGAGGGGTAAGGTTTTGCCCGTTCCAGTTTTACCCCTCCGAGTGGGCGGCCAACCTCTCGCAATGTCTACAGAGAGAGTGAAGGGTAGAAGGGGTATCTTCTTGGTACGCTGTCGATGAACACAAGGAGGTAACGCCCAAACGATCAGATACGTCCATACATTGTGATCCGACGGACGAGGAGCTCAAATTGCCGTGAGAGCTCGTTGGTGGCTCAGCTAATCTGGCATCAGCGCCCTCGAACTGGAGCCTCAAAATTGAAAGGGCCTGCTGCTGGCGGCGGCTGATGTTGGACGGCGGGGCGGAGCAGAGTCCGGGTGCAGGGCGCTGCCCAGTGCCGGGGAGCCGGTGGCGACCGGCGCTGAGGGCAACGGGCACGACCCTGAGGCGCTGTAATGTGGACGGGGCAGGGACGACCCAATCGGGCCTGATCCAGTTGGGGAGTTCCGGGCAATCTGGACTGGGAACGAGGCAGAATTTCTTCACTGTCCGGTCCAATTGTAAAGTTCCGGGCAATCTGGACGGGGCAGTCGTTCTACAGGATTTAACCGAGCCATTGTCGTGTAGAGAAGCTATATGTTAGCAAGATCCGTGTGGCGACGGTTTGTTTGGCAACTGTAAGTCATCTACAAGACGAGTACCGGAGTGCTATGGAAGAGTACGAAGATTTTAGCGTGGATCACAAGACCACAGGTACAAATTATGAAGCCCATTCTCTAGCTAAAGCTGCCGTGTCACTAGATCCAGCGCGCCGTGTGTGGCTTCTAAATCTCCCTGATATTGCTAATTGTGTCCCAAAATCTATTTTGATTGAATAAAAACTAGTGACACCACTAAAAGAGGATCGATCTGAGGGATCACGTGTTGCACGTGTGGTGGGAAGAAAAAATTACTAGGGCTGCAACTTGTATTTCCATGAGACCGTAGAACAATATGTAAAAATTCCTTATACAATGGAATATTACACATGGTTATATATGTGTTTTTGACACATTATAGGTACTGTAGTATTTATCATAAATAGTACTTCCTCCGTCCCATAATATAAGAGCATTTTGCAAGCTCTTGCAAAATGCTCGAGCTTGCAAAATGCTCTTATATCATGGGACGGAGGGAGTACAACCCAGTAGTAGGATGTATTTCCCCATATATAGCTAAAGGTCCCATGAAAAATATACAATAAAACACCCATAACAGTGCTAAGGGCTAGGAATATTTTTTTATCTCCCTCCCGAGAGGCCTGACAATGTAGCAATGCTTGTCATGAACTGTGGATTTGACACGATAGAAGGGTTGAATCCCCTGTTTTCCATCAAGGCTTGCATGCTGAAGCTCATATCGGTTGGTGCGAACTCTGATAATGGCACGTCTCCGTTGAGGTATTGCATGACTTGATGCATGCTAGGCCTTGTGCTAGCAAAGGGTTGTGAGCATAATAGACCAAACTTCAGGACCAGGCATGCCTCATCCGTTTTGCACTTGCCTTGGAGCCTCTGGTCTATCATCTCCACCATTGTTCCTTTCTGCCAATTCTCAAGTACCAAGTCAACCAACATAACTCGATCACCATTTGCATTCTACTTGACAGGCCTTTGCCCGCAGGTGACCTCAAGAAGGAATATGCCAAAGGCAAAAACATCCATAAGAGGAGACAGCTTGCCTGTGCGTAACAGTTCTGGGGCAAGGTAACCCATGGTACCGACCACACGTGTGGTATGTGGGTCAGTACCATGATCATACGATTTTGCAAGGTCAAAATCTCCTAGTCGCCCATTTAATTCGCTATCGAGAAGCACATTGCTTGCTTTGATATCTTTGTGGATGATAGCTTTATCCCACTTCTCATGGAGGTAGAGCAGGCCACATGCAACTCCTTTGATGATATGAAACCGCATAGCCCAATCTAGTAAGGGCATTTCTTGTTCACAGTGCAGGTACTTGTCAAGACTACCATTTGGCATGTAATCATAGACCAAAAGGAGTTCACCTTTTCCCCTGCAATAGCCAAGTAACTGCACGAGGTTGCGGTGACGAAGGCGGCCCATGCTAACAATCTCAGTAATGAATTCCTTTGTTCCCTGCTTTGAATCATGTGATAATTTCTTCACCGCAACCTCCAATTGAGATGTAGGAAGTATGCCTTTATACACCTTTCCGAATCCTCCTGCTCCGAGTATGTTCTTATTATTAAATCCTTGTGTGCCTATGAACAAATCCTTATACGGGAATCAATGTGGCCCAAACTCGATCTCCTAGTCTTCTTGTAGCTCGATATATGCCAATTTCCTTCGAGCAAATAAAATAATGATAATTCCAGCAATAAGGATGAATGCTGCAATGACTATTGGCAGGACAATCTTTAAGACCTTTGAGTGAGGTTTTGGGCCAACATGAGGTAACTGTGGCAGCTTGGTTGTGTCAATCGCAGGAGCAGTCTTTCCCATGCTGAAGCTCCAGCCAAGTATGTAGTATCTTCAGTTGATGACTCCAGTTGCGGACGAGAAGCCAATGTATGTCGTGTCTGTGAAAACTGTTGAGAGATCATAGATGGTTGACAGTAATGGTCTTGCAGGCTTGGCCATTTTGATGGGAGCCAAAGTTACATCGACCTTTGTAGCTCCTCCGTCACACTCTACCCACACCTGCATCATCTCACGGCTAATGAGGCTCAAGTTCTTGAACATACCAGTTTTGTCGTCAAAGAAGCTAGCATCATGGGATTGCACAGAGTGGAGACTATTCATGTTGATACCAACATGGTTGCCATTGATGTCCTGGAACTCACTATTTTCATTGGTGTCAAGCTCCACCGCAAATATATGGTTGCTTGCTTTACCATTGTTCTGGTTGTTGAGGAGCCCCAAGTACTGGGCTGGCAACGCACTGGAGAAATTCTTGTTTCTGGTGACGAAGAAGGTCATGCCATCAGCACTCTTGTCAGGGTAGGCGGAGAGGATGCTGAAGACGAAGCTGATAGAAAAAGATTGTGCATAACCACTAGGCGACATGCGGAAGTGTAGAGGAGTTGGGTATAGAGCATGGCCTTTCAGGTTAAAGGTGCCATTTGTTAGTTCAAGGAGTCCATCTGGTGTGATTGTGGCAGCTCCATCAAGGCTGAGGTTAGCTTGGGCGAAGCCGAAGTAGACAAACTGGTCATTAGCAATGGTGAAGGGTGCTCGGTTGAGGCAAATGAACAGGAAGAAGAGTTGGCATGGAATGAAACACTTATGTTTCTTGTCAAGCATGGGTGTCTGACCCATTGAAAGTGCAATCATGCACTTATATTATGTTTTGATGTTAATGAAAATCTACATGTAGGGGACTAACAATGGTTGTCAAGTGAATCTCAGGTGTTGGTCCCCGGTTCGTCAAATTGTGTGTGGATCAAGAGCATACGAAGTGGGTTCTCTCAAGGATGAAGTGTTAAAATGATGTTACATTTTGTTTCCTTGAGTATAAGATCCCGCACTATTAAGAGGGGATCGATTGGGTTCGTAACAGACTTGCTCAAGTCAAAAAAATACTCCTTTCCATAGTTCTTTTTATCCCCTCTTTACTTCTAATCTTTCTGTCTCTGGGCGTGCCGGATGTCCGGGCTACTCCCTGGATATCCGGGCCTCTCGCCGGATATCCGGGCCTAGCCATTCCAGAATGCACTTTTGTGCAGTGTTGCTGTCGAATGTCCGGGCTCCCAGTGCTCGCCGGATGTCCGGGCTCCTTGCCGGATATCCGGGCATAGGTGTCCAGAGGACGTTTTTATGCTGGGCTGCGCGCGGGATGTCCGGCCACCTGCCGGATGTCCGGGCTTGACCCCCGGATGTCCGGCCCCTCTGTTTCCTGCTCTGTTTTCTGCCTTGCTCTTTAAGTGGCTTGCCAGGCCGGATGCCCGGCCCCTAGCCCGGATGTCCGGCCTGCCCGTTCACTTGCACTACAACGGCCATATCTGAGGTCACACTATATATAGCCCTTCTCCCCCATGGGAGAGGGTTGACCATTCACTCTTGAAAAACCCTAGAACACATCTCACTCTCTCTCTTACACCTCCACACCAAATCTTAGATCCCCAAGGGATTTGAGAGCATTCGAGAGAAGTTGTCCAATCAAGTGATAGATCCACTCCTTCTCCATCTTTGCACCAAAGGAATTTGTGATTTGAGCAAGTCTTCACATTCTGCATTATTGCCTAAAAATTGTTAAGTAAAAATTAAAATTTGTAGTTGTACCTATTCACCCCCCCTCTAGGTCCATCTCGATCCTTTCAATTGGTATCAGAGCCTCGTGCTCTATTCTTGTGGCTTAACCGCCCTAGAGCGAGATGAACCCCGATGGGACTCCCCTTGTTGTAGATCCGAAGGATAAAGGCGAGGCTTCTTCTGAAGTCAAGACCTTTACTTCTGAGGATCTAGAACGGGCCCTTGCTAAGCAAAAGGAGGAGCATGATGCTTCTGTCGAGGCCTTGGTCCAAATGAGGATAGCCACATTGTCCACGGTGCTTGCACCACTTTCGGGTGGTGTGGCTTCAAGGCCAACTGTGCCTACTCCGTCACTTGGTCAACAACCTCCTAGCAATGAACACTCTAGTGTTCCTTGGCTTTATGCAAGACCCCAAGTTGAGAAACCAAAATATAACTCTCAAGGCAAACCTCCTTTACTTGATGCCACTTTCGATTTTGCTTTGTGGAGAGTTGCTATGCAGGATCATCTTTGATATGGAAACGATGAGATGCTAGAGATCTTGGAGTATGGTTACCATGTGCTTGATCCAAAGAATCCTACACCAAGAGAAATTTATGACAAGAATCTCAATGACACTGCAATCATGTGTATAAGGAGAGGTATGGTTGAAAAGCAAAGGAGACCTTTCATACACATCACAAGTGCCAAGGAATTATGGGAAAGTATTATAAGATCCAAGACCGGTACCTCCACCCTCTGGAGTGCTCAATATGAAATTGCCAAGGGACAATTGCAAAACTTTTGTATGGGGAAAGGTGAAACTCCAAATCAACTCCTTGAGCGTCTCATGACTCTCACCGCTGATATTGAGTCGTGTGAGTGTGACAAGACACAAGATGGATTTAACATGACTAAGCGATTCCTTGTGGACAAGTTGCTCCATGCTCTTGCTCCATATCACCATCAGATGGTATGGGACATAAGACAACACCATGCCTTCAAGGAAATGACTACAGATGACATCATATCCACTTTCCAACTATTTGAAGAGTCAAAGGCAAATGCTACAAAACATCTTGCCATGCATGGTACTCAATCGTCGAAGATCAATCTTGCATTGAAGGCCAAGCATGTATGTGAAGATGAGCAAAGTGAAGAAGAAGATGATGATGATGAAGAAGATGGTGATGAGGTTGAATCCGATGAGGGCCCTTCATATGAAGACATGGCTCTCTTTGTCAAGAAGTTTAGCGCAGGAAAATTCAAGGGTAGGTTTCAAAAGAAGAAAGTAAGAAAATGATACAACTGTGAAGAAACCAACCACTTCTCCAACGAGTGTCCTTATGAGAAGAGAGAAGATAAACCAAGGTTTCCCAAGACCTTTCCCAAGAAGAAGCTGCCAAATCCTTTGAACTCCAAGCTCAAGAAGAGAGATGGGAAAGCAATGGTTGCTCAAGAAGAATCCGATCAAGATGATGTTAGTGGTGTTGCCGAAGTTGCTCAAGATTCTCAAAACACATTGAGGCTAGTCAACAAGAGTGGTGAAGTTGTCACCTACAACTACATGAAAGATTACAAGGGCAACGCTCACAAGTGCCTCATGGCGAAGGCCGTGGTAGAAGATGGAGAGGACCAACACTCTCTTGACAAGGTAAAGGTAACCCCATGATCAAACCCTCCTCTTTTCACTCCTCCTACTTCTAGTGATGAGTATCTTGATGCGAAGGATAGTTATGAGGATGATGATATAAATGATCCTATGCTTGCTAAATTAAATAAGTTCATGTGCTCCCTTAAAGGAAAGAAGCTCACTATGTTTCGTATGCTTATGGAGATGGTGAGTAAGCACACCATTTCCATTAAGGAACTCGAAACCCTCGTCACCGAGGAAAAGGAAAAAAATGAAATCCTTAAGCGGAAAGTCCAATATGAGGAAGCACGCAATGATGAACTATGCTTAAAAATTGGTGCAAACATTGATGTTCATACTAGGGATCTTGCCTCCTTGAAAAAGGCTATCAACTCTTGCGAAGAGTTGATGAATGATAAAAGTAAGCTTGTAAAGTCTAATGCTTCTCTCTCTAAGGATTGTGAGCTCCTATCCGTGTCCCTCAAGACCAAGGAAGAAGAGCTCACCCTCCTTACAAAGAGTTTTGAGACACTCAAGCTTACTTATCTTGAAACGCTAGCCAAGGCTTACTCTTCTCCTATTATCAATGTTGATGCTTGTACTACTAACTCTAGTAGTGATCTAGTGTCTATTCTTCAGGAGAATCGCTTTCTCAGAGCTCAAATTGAGAAAGGACTCATGACATGTGCTCAAGGGCAAAAGAACCTTAATGAGGTGTTGAGCCAACACAATGAGGTGTTTGCCAAAGAGGGACTCGGGTTTGACCCAAGCACAAGCAAGAAGAAGACGTCCTCTCAAAAGTGCACCACTCCGTTAAAAGAAACTTTTGTACGAGAAGGGCACGAGAAAGGTAAGGTTGTTAGTGGGAAGGCCACAAGGGGCATGCCTACTCTCAACAAGCCAAAAGTGTTTATGCCTCCATCCTATGTACTTCGTAAGACTAAGGATGGAGAAGTTTTTGCTAAATTTGTTGGTCCTCGAAATGCATTTCGGTTTTATGCTATTTGGGTCCCTAAGACCCTTGTGACTAACCTGAGAGGTCCCATTGCAAAATGGGTGCCTCTAACCAAGCCATAATTGTGTGTAGGTTGCTTTCTCCGGTGGAGTAAAATGGGTGATTGACAGTGGATGTACCAATCATATGACCAGAGATAGCAAGTTGCTCTACGATTTCATGGAAGCTATTCAACCATTTATGAGCATTATGTTTGGTGGAGGTTCAAAAGGACTGGTACTCGGATTGGGCAAAGTGGCCATCACAAATGACATGTCTCTTGCAAATGTGATGCTTGTCTAATCCCTCAAATACCATTTGCTTTGTGTTCGCCAATTGGCTTCTGTTGGTTATGATACACTCTTTGGACTAACGGATGTGAAAGTCTTTAAGAGAGATACTCTTGAAGTGGCCTTTGTTGGAGAGTTGGATGGCAACCTTTACACGGTTGATTTCTCAAAAGAGAGCACATTCCATGCAACTTGTCTAATGGCCAAGGCCGACAAGGGGTGGCTATGGCATCGCCGGTTAGCCCATGTCGGCATGAGAAATCTTCAAGATCTCTTAAAGGGTAATCACATCCTTGGACTAACAAATGTCTTTTTTGAGAAAGATCGTGTGTGTAGTGCATGGATAGCCGGGAAGCAACATCAATCAAAGCACCCACCCAAGAATATTGTATCTACTTCAAGGCCTTTGGAGCTCCTTCATGTGGATCTCTTTGGGCCTCCTTCGTGGGATAGTCTTGGTGGAAAAAAATATGGACTTGTCATTGTGGATGATTACTCAAGGTATACATGGGTCTTCTTCCTCAAATCCAAGGATGAGACGAAGATCACCTTCATTGACTTTGCAAAGCAAGCACAATGCAAGTTTGACAAAGAAATTCTGGCAATAAGAAGTGATAATGGACCCGAGTTCAAGAACTACACCTTGGAAGAGTTCCTTAGTGATGAAGGGATTGTACATCAATATTCAGCTCCATACACTCCCCAACAAAATGGTGTTGCAGAAAGGAAGAATCGCACTCTTGTGGAGATGGCAAGGTCCATGTTGGATGAATACAAGTTGCCACATAGTTTTTGGGCCGAGGCCATCAACACTGCATGTCATGCATCAAACCGGCTCTTCCTCCGCACGATATTGGAAAAGACTCCATATGAGCTCCTAACCGGGAACAAGCCTAACGTCAAGTACTTTCGTGTATTTGGGTGTAAATGCTTCATCCTCAACAAAAGAGAGCGGTTAGGAAAATTTCAATCTAAAACCATTTGAGGGCATATTTGTTGGCTATGGATCAAACTCTCACGCCTATAGAGTCTACAACAAATCCAATGGATGTGTTGTAGAAACTTGTGACGTGGTGTTTGATGAATTTAATGGCTCCCATGGGGAGCAAGTTGATCTAAATGATGTAGGTGAAGAAGATTCTTCTCAAGATATCTTGACGATGGGTGTTG